CACTCCGGTCTTTGCCTCCATCATCACGTGGTGTTCTCCCTGTGTGTCTGTCATACTGGACTCAGGTTCCCCCTACTCCAGTATGACCTATCTTAACTAATTACATCTGCAATGGCCCTGTTTCCAAATAAGGTCACGTTCTGAGTGTCCAAGAAGGACGTAAGTTTTGCAGGACAGTATTCAACCCAGTACAACCACTTTCAGAACTTTTCTTTGCCTCTGATTTTCAGCATTTTTAGTATGTGTCTGTGTACATCTATTTGTGTTTACATTTATCCTGCTTAGAGTTTGTTGAGTTTCTTGAATTGTGGATTAATGTGTTTCATCAGTTTGGGGGAGTTTTTTTTTATTATTTCTTTGAATATTTTTTTCTCTTCTCTGGTACTTCAATTACATGCATACATGCATGTTGGTGTGTTTATTAGTGTCGCATATTTGTCTGAGGCTCTGTTCACTTTGCTTTATTTTTTCTCTCTGTTCTTCGGATTGCATAAGCCCTCTCAATCTATCTTCAAATTTGCTGATGTTTCTTCTGTCAGATCCAATCAGTTGTTGAATCTCCAGTGAATTTTTCTTTTTGGTTACTATACTTTTCACCTCCAGAATTGCCATTTGTTTCTATTTTGTAATTTTTCTCCTTCTAGTCGCTATTTACCTCTTTAAGCATGGTTTCCTGCAGTTCTTTGAACATATTTATCACGGCTCCTTTGAAGTCTGTTAAATCCAACATCTAGGCCCGCACACAGGCAGATCTTGTTTCTTGGTTATTCTGTGTATGGACACATTCCTGTTTCTTTGCATACCTAGAAATTTTTTGGAGAAAATTGGACATTTTAGGTAGTATATTGTAGCAACTCTGGATACTGTTCTTGCCTCCCCCTGAGACTTGTTTATTTTTGTTTACTTGTTTATTTGTTTGGCGACTTGGCTGGTCTGTTTTGGTGGCATCTGTTTCCCCTGGAGTGTGAAGCTCTGGAGGCTGCTTCTCAGAGGCTGCAGCCGTGGGCGTGGACACAGCCACCTGGGGTGACACTGGTTCTAGGAGGGGTCTTGTTGACTGTCTCTTTTCCGAATGTCTCTGTTAAGCTGTCTGCCTTGTATCACACCAGCTGTTAGGCTGCAGTAATTGTCAGCTGAGTGAACTATTCCTTCATCAGTGCTTTGTGTCATAAGTTGCTCCCCAGTCTGATCCAGTTAAATTCTGGGCCTTTTGCAGAGGTAGATTTTGAGGCCAGTCTTTGAGATTTGTTCAGATCCCAGCCTCCTTTTTATTTCTTACCACTTAAATCTCCATTGTTTTTGAGGGCACCTTTATGCTTGAACTTCCCCACATTCTCTTTCAAATAAAGTCAATTCCTTCCGGGAAAGCTTTGGAACTCGGTTTTTTTTGACTGCCTCTGTCCCGTGGGGAAAATCTCTGAGCCACTGGAGCTGGAGGAGGGAGTGACACCCCTGCTTACAAGCAGGGAGCTGGGCAGGAGCAGTAGCCCCTGATCTCCTTGCCTTGTCTCTCAGCTTGGAATCGCCACCCTTTGGAGCAAGCTGGGGCAGGGGTCACCAGAGTCCCATTATTCGCAGCCTGCCATGCCCGGGGTAGAGTTTCTGCCCTCTGAGTGGGAACTGGATGGAGGAGGGGAACTCACACATCAGGGATTTAGCCTCTGAAACTCATAGCTGGAGGGGATGAGAAGTGCAGGTGGCCTGCCCTTCCTGGTGAGATACCATATCTTGACTGGGAGCTCCATTTTTTTGGCCACACCTAACACTCTTGCCCACTCTGAACTGTGAGAGTAGAGAGTGGAAGAAGGGAATGGGCCATGGCTCAACTGTCACAGACTCACTGTTCTTATTGAATTTTAGTAGATTTTCTTGAATAAATGTTTCTTCATTTGTTGTATACCCTTAGGACAATTTCCAGAGACTTTGAATTGTTGGTGTTTTTGAATTAATTTTCACCAGTTATGTTTGTTTTGCTGGGGAACAGGTCTGTGGAGCGCTTCACACTGGCGTTCTGTAAGAAATTTTTTAACTGTGCCCTTGGTATATAAATGGTTAGCACACAGGTGGTTTTTTATTTTACTCATCATCTAGTTTGTAGGACCATGCGTCCCAAACACCCAAGTAGTGCTCTTGAATCAACATTAAACTTTCCCCCACATAATCCTGTTTTCTTCTAGAAGCTATAGAAGATCTCTTGCCTTTTTTGATAGTTTTCATAAATCTCACCCTGAGCAGACTCTAAAGTCTGGTATACTTGTACCCATCTTTTTGGGTTACTTTTATTACATCAAAAATGTGTAGGCATTTAAGCATGAATTGAGAAATATATCAGTGACTTCAGCAGCAGAGAAAAGGTAATTGTTGTAATCTTTCTGATGCCGCTGTCAGAGTGATCAGAAAATCTGATGTTCTACACTAATATATGAACCCGGCACAGTCTTGTAAGGGTTCTTTCCATGTGCGATGATCTTCCTGTTGATGCTGTGTCACAGAATTTCTTTCACTTTACACATAACCACAACAAATGGACTTGGTGTTTTTCATTCATCTGCCATCTCATAGGGTAAGCCACACTTTGGAGTCACTTGGTACTCAAGTCTGGCATATTGTTGCTGAAACTTAAAGCTTTTTCAGTAATGTTGAAGCCTTAGCACAAAGAAGAAGTTTGTTCGAAAAGACTTCTTTTTGCTGAGTTGCTGAGCAGCATGAGTTTGAAGGCTGACCTTGAACTGGACCGCTTTAGCTGCCTGTCAGCTCCCACAGGAGCGAGACGGACAAGCCCCCTGAGAGGAGCTCAGAAACTGCAGGGCCACGCAGAGGCTAAGGGCTCAGGTGTGAGGCCAAATCCATTTCAGCCTAAGAGGTCTTATGGCTTTTCTTCCCACTATCTTTTGGGTATTAGCTCCTTGTTATTCAAAGGGTGTGCTTGGGTTTGGTGATTAGTTTTTCTGAGGAAACTTCCTAAGTGGTAAGCTTCTGCCAGTTTTGTTTCTCTTTGAAATACTTGCTTAATGGACTGAAATTGATTAGAAACATTTTATCACCACCCAGCTATGTTACATAAATCCTTAAGTATTTTAGATAGAAAGGAATTATTCAAGAAAAACAATTCAAATGCATTTTAAACAAGGCTGAGGTGCTTCCAACAATTTTATGTCACTACCAAAACTAGTGCAATGTTGGAGGCAATTGTGTATAATTTAATACACTGCATTTCTGCTTGCTCTGAGCTGTCACTCAGTTATTTTAGGTGCAGAGATTAAGTTAGCATGCCACAGAACATCTTATTTTAAGAAAATTTGCATATAGATATAAAGTTACATTGAAAGGGGTTAAATTTCTTTTAAAAATGTAATTTTTCTGATTTAAAAACTAGAAAACTTGGGAAAATGAATAAAACGAAGGTAAAATTAAATGAAATCTCACCCCGTGAATTAATCACTAGTGGTGAGCCAGATTTGAAATTCAGTTATTTTTCCAGAAAATTCTTTTTTCAAATCATTGTTCAGGTCTGCAGGTAAAATGTAGGAGTGCTAAAGATAAAACATGAACCAGACAAATGACAGGTAGTACAGAGAATTTGCGATCAGGAAGACTGTGGGCTTATTCTGTAGATCTTTACTCGTGATGTGGGGATCTTGGTCAAAAACTCAGTTCCTTTGGGTGTCAGTTTCTTATCTCTAAAGCAAAGGGGATTTAGACGATGGTGCTCTCAGTAAAGAATGAATGTGGCTGATTGAAGGTTGTTGAGTATTGGAACTTTTTGACCATTCACGTTCTAAACCATTGTATCTATGTTTTCGTCGGCGTGTATGTAAACATCTGGTTGGTGGTTGATGAGTGGTTCTTCTCGGGGCTGGCATTAACCCTCCTGCTGCCCCACATCTACCTCCTTCACCCAGGGCAGGTTTGCTCTCACTGTGATAACATTGGAATTCTGTGTCAGGTTTTATTTGAACAGAGGACCTCATGGTAAATGTTTTAAAACCATGACCTAGGAGTTTATGTGCTTTTCATTTAGAAAGAATTGGTATTTTTTCTACTGTTAATTCTTTCAGTTTGGAACAGGGGGGCAAGGTGACGGAGAATTCTGATGGAGGAGAAGGCGGAGTGGAGAACAGAACAGAATAGGACAGAGAATGTAGTGTCACATCACGTCTGTTTTCTGAGTTTGTTATTTTCACTACTACCTCCCCGATTGAAGTACGCTTTATCTAGCCCCCTCCACTTAACACCATTTAATTTGAATAAAGTCTTTTTATTTGTTTAAAAAATTTTTTTCGATCGTAATTGACTTTTCACGTTTGTCGTGGTTTCAGTTTTAGAAGCCCATTGTTGCTGAACTGCTGCCCCTCAAGAGCCTCCGCGTGGCTGTGTCGTGTCGCAGTTTGGCTGGGTTGTCGGCACTATGTAGTGTTTGCACTCCTGCTCAGGGGTAAACCCAACAGTGGGACTTAATCACTTAGGGCTTTGGGCTGTAGACTGTATCTATTGCTTATTAATTTGTTCTTATGAACAGTTTAAGAGATAACAGTTTTTCTGAGGTTTGTGATACCAGTTTAAATGTCACATACTTTTTTTGGTAGTTCACCAAATCTCTGCATGTTGCTAATCACTTTTTTAAAAAAGTAATTCTAAAACTTTGTAGTAGTATTAGAACCATGTAAGTGATGTTCAACATCCTGTCCATTATAAAACAAGAACCTTTTAATAATGTGAAATTCTCTATCAAAGAAGACATTTTGAAACTTGTAACTACTGTTTCTCTGTATTATTTACTGGGTGGTAGTTTAAATTTTAGGCTGCTTACAAGTTTACGGATAGTATGACTTCTTGCTCAGGAGTAAGAGTAAAGATGCTGCTTTAAAACCTTTCCGTCTTCCTTGCCCTGTTCCCAAGTTTTAAGTTGTGGCTGGACCAAAGGCACAGCTCCTTGAAGTCGGTTGTCACTGTTCTCTTGTGCTTTTTTCTGGGGATGCTTTACGACTGTCCTGATGCAGATAACTGGAGGAGCGGGGTTCGTGGGTTCCCATCTCACTGACAAGCTCATGATGGATGGCCACGAGGTGACGGTGGTGGACAACTTCTTCACGGGCAGGAAGAGAAATGTGGAGCACTGGATTGGCCATGAGAACTTCGAGCTGATTAACCACGACGTGGTGGAGCCCCTCTACATTGAAGGCGAGTGAAACCTCCCGTGGTTACCGTTTAGAGCCTGGTGGGCAGGCTCACTGAGCATCTGCCCCCGAGGTTAAGCCCTCTCACTTGGCCACACTGAATTTGTGTTGTCTTGTTTTTGAAATGGTCTTAGTGTGCACAAGGCACTATCCTGGTTTCTGTGATAAAGAATGGTTATGATGTTGTGAATGTCTCACTTCACTATTATGTGGCACCTTGGTTTTGAACTTTGTAGCCTGTTGAAGCAGGGCTTGTGTGGTACACATCAGCCCTATTTCTAACAAGTCTTCTGCCGGCCCCACTCTGTGAAATGACTTCCAGCTTCCTGTAGGAAGTTAGCTGGTGTAGAATGCTGATTTAATAATGAAATTCCACGTATGAGAGTTTAAAGCCCTCTAGTAACTTTGCCACTTCAAAGGAATTAGGGTTTGGGGGCTTTAGTGAGTTGGGTGGTGATCCCCAGAAAGATATGTTTACGTCTTAACCCCTGGAACCTGTGAATGTGACCTTATGTGGAAAAAGAGTCTTTACAGATGTGATTAAGTTAAGGATCTTGGGATGAGTTCCATCTGGATTACCCGGGTGGGCAAGTGTCCCTATAAGAGACAGAATGGAGAAGACATAGACACATGGGGAGAAGAAGAGAGGACTGCGTGAAGACCAAGTCAGAGATTGGAGTGGCGTAGCCGCATGCCAAGGAATGCCTAAAAAGGCAAAGAAGGATTCTCTTCCAGAGCCTTTGGAGGAAGTGTGGCCTGGCCAACACCTTGTTTTCTGACTTTTTTTCCTAGAACTGTGGGAGAACAAATTTCTGTTGTTTTAGTCCACTTAGTTTGTGGTACTGTAGTTACAGCAGCCAGAGGAAACTTAGGTAGACTTTTTCCCAGATTGTCTAGGGTGTACTGAGAGCTGCCCCCAGGTGCTTGGTTAGCAGGCCTCTTAGCATCACCCCGACTTCACGTTCATTCTCATTTGAAGCTGATCGTAGTCTTGAGAGGTAAGTGGTCTCATCCTCACTTATATATGTACATGTGGAAAACCAGAATCAGGTTGTGGCCTGCCCAAAGTTATACAGGGCTGTGAAGCGGCCGAGCCAGAATTCATCCTCAGGTTGCTGACTCCAAAGCTTGTACGATCATCCGCCCCTCCACCTGCGTGGGTATAGTGTCCTGCTTTCCCATTATTATCAAATCATGAGCATTTTCCCATGTCAGTGAAAAGTATCTTGAAGACAGGGTAGTTGCTGAGCGTATTATTATATGGGTATACCATGGTTTCTTGAATCTTACCCTTATTTAAAGTTCTCCAGTGTTTTATTACAAATATCTTTGCCTGCATTTTATTTCCTCAATAAAGAATCCAAATATGAATTGTGCCAAATACTGATATGTCTCCTCCGTTTGGTGGTGCATGTTTCACTAATACGTTAGTACCATTGAGTATTATCGTAACTAACAAAAATATTTTACTAATTTGATAGAAAACCCATGTTCAACATACATTTCTTTGGTTACTAAAAAGGTTAGACTTTCTAACATGTTAGTTCACAGAGGAAATCTAAGTAGTTTCTTTTACCTTTTCTTAAAATTTTCTTTTAGTATGAGTTATTCATATTAGAGATGTTAATCATCTGGGTGTATTTAGCATTACCCCCCTCAGTCTGCCTTTTGCTTTTTTAATTTCAATGAAATTTTGTAATTATAATATCATTTACTTCCCCTCTGTTTCTCTGTTTCTTTTATGCTATAACCATCCCAAGAATAGCTAAATATTCAGCCATGGTGTTTTTTGTTTGTTTTTTGCTTCATTTTTAAACATTTAATTATTGGGGCCGGCCCCGTGGCGTAGCAGTTAAGTGCGCACGCTCTGCTGCTGGTGGCCCGGGTTCGGATCCCAGGCGCTCACCGAGGCACTGCTTGTCAGGCCGTGCTGGGACCGCGTCCCATATAAAGTGGAGGAAGATGGGCACAGATGTTAGCCCAGGGCCAGTCTTCCTCAGCAAAAAGGGGAGGATTGGCGTGGATGTTAGCTCAGGGCTGATCTTCCTCACAAAAAAAATAGAATAAAATAAAATAAACATTTAATTATCTATCTGGGATTTATTTTGGGGTTAGGTCATAGTTTTTGTAAGGTGAAACACATAATTGAGATAATAGATAAATTGGCTCCCTTTCCACTTGCAGTTCATCACAGGGTTGCTGTGAGGGTTGGTTGAGGTGATGTGTGTGACAGGGCTCTGGTAGGCAGGGCTGTAGAGGTGTGGGACTCTGGGTCCTTCTGTGAAAGGACTCTACTGATGGAATTAAGGTTCTGAATCAGCTGGCTGTAAGATGTGGAGATTGCCTTGGATTATGTAGGTGGGCCCACATAACCACATGAGCCCTTAAAAGCAGCAGAAGAAAGTGGAAAAGCCAGTCAGAGATTTGGTAGAAGAGGTGCTTCGAAGAGACAGGCAGTAGGCAATAGGGAAGTCAGAGAGGTTCGAAGTGTGAGAAGGACTTGACCCACCGCTGCTGGCTTTGAAGGGGGCTGTGAACCAGAGCATACAGTCAACCTTGAGAAGCTCCCAGCCGACAGCCAACAAGGAGACAGGGACCTCAGGGCTGTAGCCTCATGGAACTGAATTTTGCCAACAACCTGAATCATCCTCTGATGACAGGAAGGCAGCCCTGCTGACACCTTGATTTCAGCCTGTGAGAGTCAGAGCAGAGAACCAGCTGAGCCATACCATGCCCTGACTTCTGACCTGCAGACCTGTGAGATTATAAGTGGATATTTTTAAGTCTCTCAATTTGTTAGAGCATCAGTAGAAAACTGCTACAGAGACTTAGCACAGTGGCTGGCCCATAGTAAGTGCTCCCCAAATAATAGCTGTTATTATTATTACTCTTTCCTCTTTTTTGCACATGGCAGTAAACATTTGTTGAATAAAATCATTGATTACATAATTTCAGTACTACTAAGAAACCAAAACTTAGTAAAAATGGTATGTTGGTAAGTAAATTATCTGCTTTGACTCTGAGCTTTGACACCAAAGCTATTCTAGGCCATTTCTCTTGCTTCTGGCAATAGACTCTGTGGAGGACACACACACACATATACGTGCACACACACACACACTGAGTGGAGTCACACAATACATGATTAACACTTTTTGTTCTTTGCTCAGAGTAGTGAGTTCCCTCAAGTGGTGCTTATGTTGGGAGAACCTAAGACATTTCTCCACCGCAGTAGTTTAAAGGATATTTTTCACTTTCTCCTTCAACGGCGTTCACAACCTTAGCATCAGTTCGCGTACTTGGTAATCCCCCTGCTCCCTCTCTTCCCCCCATGTCTTCACTCTTTCTTCCCCCACAATGCCCACCTGGCTCTGAACTCCTGGTGTGAAGAAGGGCATCATTTGACCCCCTGTGGGTGCAGTTGTGCTATTCAAGGGTAATAATCCCTCTTTCCCCCTTAAATCAGACGCAGCATGAAATTAACCAGGTGAACCCAGTTTGGTGTGCTCCTCCCCTTTCCTTGGTGTTGCACTGTCACTCAAAGGATGGCCCAATTTAGGCCCCCTGAGTGACACGTCATGGCCTTGCACTTGCAGGCCTGTCATATTTCACTTACACTGCAGTCTGGGTTTTCCTCTGATTGAAGTTTACGGCCTGTGCTTACCCTCAGGGTGTTACCTTTTGGTGTGGGATGTAGTCCAGTCTTTCAGCAGCAATGAACAAGGTCATATGTCCTCTTGATGTGATAACTTATTTTCCTCCTTTGTCTGATTAAGAGTATACCCAAAATTTAATATGTAACTCTATTTTTTAGTGCCTTTTTCCTAATAAAAGAAAGTTGAGTTGATCTGATATTTACACCATAGCAGGAATGTTCTTGAGCTTTGAAAAGCGCTTTTTGGGATTTATTTTGGTTTGTTTGTTTTTCTGGGGCTGACAAGTTGTGTGGATTTTCGTGAGGGAACAATGGTGTCACTTACTGTGGCAGCATCACAGCAGAGTGTCATTAATTTTCCTTCAGCACAAATGTCCCCCTCTTCTTATTTTCAAAGTATAACCATTATGTTTCAGAAGCAAAGACATTAGCTATTTTACTCTAATTTCACATTTCCAGTGGGAAATGATTGTCTGGATTAAGAATGGGGTAGAATTGGAAAGGTGACTTTGACTGCAGTATTCTCAGGATCAGGATCGAGATGAGGTTCTGTAGAATTCAGGGACTGCCACGTGGTAACAAATTACAAAAATGATCAAGGCAAGAGGAGCTTTGTCACAGGGGTTACGAGAGAGGCCTCTGCATTGTCTGGGTTAGATTGTAGAGAAAGAACATCGTTGCTTTGGAAGGAGTTGTAAGTATTCATTGGAGTAACTTAATCTGATTTTATATTGCTTTAAGAGAACTCTGGATTTTACCAACCAAGGCATTTAAGTTTTGGATATTGAAGCTACCCTGCAAAATAGTTAGCTCTGGAAGGAGTAAAGTTAATTATCCTTCCAAACCATCTGTTCAGGACACTGGGAGGTTTCTGAGAAGCTAGGGTTCAGGCTTAGCAGAGTGTGATTCGATTTTGTGAGGGAGATACCGGCCATCAAGAGGGTGAAAATGGAACTGTAGTGTGAGTGAGCTCCTTGTCCAGCCTGGAGGGCTCGAGAGTGAGTGCTCGGCCCTGGGAGTGCTGTGAGGTGAGCGAGGATGTCTCAAGAAAGAGCCTGTGTGCTCTTGGAGGTGAGGATTGGGGAAGCACAGGACACAAGCAGTGACCGTGGAGGACTTTTCAGAACCGATGGGCTGCTACTGAAGGGAGGCAGAAGTACTCATTCAGTGGGACGTTCACGCAGTAGGTCAAGTGTAAGAGAGAATAACGACTTCACAGTGGGATTGTGGACCGAAGGTTTCTGGTTTGTCACGTAAGGAACTTGGAAAGCATCACTCCCATCCTCACAAGGAAAAAGCTGAAAATCAGCAGTTCTTAGCTCTGTCAGAGAGTTGAGGTCACAGAGCAA